AATCTGAGGGAAAAATAAAAGGATTTTAGAAATTCTCAGGCAACAAACTTAAACAACATACTGTCATAATATTTGTAACTAATCCCATGGAACTGGATTTCACTTGGGAATATGCTCGTTCTCTCTCTCTCTTTTTTTTTTTTTTTGGTGGGAGTGGGGATCAAACTCAGGGCATCACACTTGCAAAGCAGGTGCTCTACTTGAGCCACCTTTCCAGCCCATTTTACTCTGGTTATTTTAGAGATGGGTCTTTCCAGCTCTGCCCAGACTGGCCTCAAACTGTGATCCTACTGATCTTAGCTTCCCAAGTAACTAGGATAACAGGCATGACCCAGCCTCCAGTGGGAATATGATCTCTTAAATATGAAATCTCTACGAGATTGTAAACTTGAGGGAATGAACTATATATAAGTTAATTTCTGGCACATAGAAAACACTTGATAAATGTTTGGTGCTTATCAATAGCAATCTGGAAATATCTGATCATCGGTAATTTCTTTTAGGAGAAAGAGTAAAGGTGAAATTATGGCTTCAATTCTAATTTCAATGTAAATAATAAGCATGTATCTAAATTTTATACAAATTTCTCTGTTTAAGAACACACTAATTTACTTATATTTTTTCTCAGTCTTTCTTCCTATGTTAGTACTTGTATATTTTGCTGGCCTTGAGATGACTTATTATTACACCTTCTTGTATTTATGTATAAGCCTTTTTAGACTTAGTAAGGAAGAAATTATACATTAATGGCAATGGTAAATAAGGATTCATGGAATTAAGTCAGGTTATTCAAAAAAGTCAGGTAGAGGAAATGGTTATTGAAACCACTAAAGGGCAGCAATATATCACAGTAAGTGATAAACTGAAAAATATATAGAATATTCATCAAGATTTTGGAGTTGAAACATTTTTTATTTAAAGACTAAGCAAGAATTAGCCTATAAATATTTCCATTTCTGTTTAGATTTTGTAGTCTTCTTCTTTCTTTTTTCTCCTTTTTTTAACTTGGAGGAAGACATTACAGTGGCAAAATATTCACTATCAATTCCACATGGACCTAGTGAGTAAAACTCTTGAGTTGAGCTTGGTGACTTTTGAATTTTAAATATTAGAAATTTAGAGAACTAAGTAGAGAATAATGATGCATCCCTAAAATGCTGTCTATAAACTATAGGACATAAGAAAAAGCAATAAAATGCTCTATTTTAACCACACAACCATCAAATACACTATTAAAATTTTGAATTTTTATAGACTTTTTCATTAGTATTAAATTTTGCTCTAGTTTTTTTTTATAACAGACTATTAGGCATTTCAACAAGCAAAACATCTGATTGAAAAATTATATTTTGTTTTTGTTTTTGCTTTTGATGCTGGAGAGTAACCCAGGACCTTGTACATGCTAGACAAACTCTCATTCACTGAACTACATCCCCAGATCTAAATAATTACTTTTTAATTTATCAGATAATAAGGAAAAACAACCCATAACCTCATTCAATCAGATTAACAATAGGTTATATCAGCATGAAAAGAAAACTATGATTCAAAAATAATTATACATCAGGTTTTATACCATCTGTGTATTTCTTAGGAAACAGTTCTTTGGAAAATAATATTTGTTCCTGTCATATGCTTCCCTGGTTTGGTGATTGAGTGATTTTTCCATCTTCAAAAGTGACATTTATCAGTAGTCCAGATCACCTCAGCTCGGTATCATTGAACCGGGCAATAGCTCCACAAGGCTAGGAATTGTGCCTTTTCATCAAGTTACAGGCCTGGTACTTAATATAGAGATAGATGCTCAACTAGCATTTGCTGAATGAATGACCAGCGAGATGATGATCAAATCCAATTAAACAATATTTTTGAGCCTAGAAGTATTTCTAAAGTTCTGTTTGCTTTTCTTGCAGAAGATTAAGTGGCTTCCTACAGCCCTCTACCTATTACATATGTCATTTCACATCACAAAAGATGAATTCTTCTCTTTAGCCAAGGGACATGTACCTTAATGGCCAGAATTCTGAGTTGGCAATCATGTGTGCTAACATGGTTCACGTATGCTAGGCAAGCACTCTACCACTAAGCCGCATCCAGCAGTCAATGTGCTCATTTCTATGCTCTAATGGCTGGTCTCAAGCTTGGGGCTGAAACCAACTTGTGGCTACTGGCACTGGTTGTTAGGAGAATCAGAAGATTCAGGTTACCCATTTCTGCGACTTTTATTGAAGTCATTCAAATAATCTTTACTCATTGACATTTGTCCCTGGTCACTGAACTAAGTAATGATGAATGAACTCTTTTAGCTGCAGCAATTTTTAGTAGCCTGCAGGGTATAAGCCTCTGTGTTCCTGACAATTCAGGCAGAGTTTCTCAAAATGGGGATGCATCATCTAAAGGGTACAAAAATACATCTGAAGTTATAAGAGTATCAGTTTTGCTAGTTGGCATGTAATACAAAACACTATTTTAAAATCATTGAAACAGATATATTATGGAGTAAAATGCAGCATTGACATGAATTTTTAATGTAAAAACTTCAAAACAACTCTGTGCTTGGTAAGTATTTCCAGGTCCTCCAGGCATACATATTTATTCTCTGAGTTAGGTATAGTTCAATGAAAAGAATTAAGAAGTGCTGCACAGGCACATCCTGGGAGCCATTGGTCCTCAAACTGCCTCTCTGTGAAATACCAAAGTCAGAAATATTTTTAGAGGAGAATTTTCTTTTCTTTTTTTTTTTTTTTCCTAGCTGAAGACTTTTGGCCCAAAGGATCTAGGAAAAATAGAAGGATAAACTTTCCATAGGATGGTTTTGAAAAAATTTTAAATTTAAATGTAAAGGAAAACACCTGCCCCCAGACATCCTTTACCCAAAACAAAACAAACCCCTTGGATTGAAGGGGAAAGAGTTTTTAGTGTGAATGCTTCCAGGGAAGAATGTCCAGGATTCTTCATCTGGACAAGTGCATTCTGGAGTAGGGGGTCTCAGTAGAAGGCCTAATAGTCCCATGAAAGGCAGGGCATCAGTCAGCTGTCAGGGCAGTAAGTCCACTTATGCAGCCAGATGAATAAAAAAATAGAAATTCATCAATAAGAGACATTAGAAAACAACTGCTTCATGATGCTATGTAGAGAAAATGATTTTCATAACTTATTTGCTATTCATCTAATAACAGATATACCTGTTTGACTTTGAAAAACAACATGTAGAAAATTCAAATACTCTAGATTTTAAAAAAGCTGATTAACATCTAGTTTTAGACACTAAAATAAATATGAGTAATGTAAATATCAATGATTAATGACTATAAACTATTAAAGGTTATGTTTTGAAACAAACATGAAACCATTAAGAAATTCTAAGCACAGTGAAAAAGGAAATGTTTTAAATTATTTTGAGCAGCAGGACTGCCTAGATTTTGACTAAGATTAAAACTTGTTTTTTTTAATCTGAAATTTAATGACCAGATTCTGTTAATAAAAAAATGCTAAAGTCTTAAGATTCTAAATACTCATGCTATTTTCTCCTGTATTTTCATTAAAAAATAGAACACAAGCTAGAGTGTTTTTTTTCTTTAACAATAAGTTGTGCTTTTTATTTTGCCTACTGTTTTCCTGAACGCTTATCGCGAGCGTAAAACGCATTTTGCTGAGGCAAAACCCAGACAATTCTAGAAGACCAGGAAATCATTAATTTGAAGTCTTAAGGGAGCTTAGAAATTATTTTGTCTTCCTTTTTATTTGGGTAAAACTGAGTCCAAAAGAGGTTGTAGAGGCTTGTCCAGGTTTATATTTCTGGTGGTTGCATATTTGTAGCCAGAGCCTTGGTTCCTGGAAGCAAAGCGGATTCAAATGATCTGGGCTCCAGCACAGCCTTCACCACCATCCAGTGCCTTCCCTCCTCTGCATTTACTGTTCTCAGTAGAAAATGCCAGAAGTGGCTTTCAACAAGGATCATTCTGACCACTTCCTGGGGGAACGGGGTTTGGAATTCTAGGTCATTTCTAGTTGCTGCAATTACTGAGCATGTTACTGCCATCAATGCTCGGGCAGAATTCGTACCCTTCATAATGGTCTTTCCATACTCCCACCCCATACTAAGAAATCCTTAGTGACCCATTCCCAAGCCTGCGCTCTTTTTATGGTGACTCATGGTGGAACCAACTCTATGAAGCCGGGTGACTGTCTCATTTCAATGGCTTTGCTTTGAGTTTGTCAAAAGTTACTTTTCTGGAATTCCCATTTTGGCATACCTACATTCTTGTTTCTAGATCTGTACTTAGAAAAAATAATGTTGAATACAAGAGGAAAATAAAGTCATGGTTACATGGCCAAATACAAGTTTTTTTTTTAAAGATCTAATTTCTAGATGTGGGTGTCAATTTTTAAAAAGTTTTGTTGTATAATATAGCCTTTTCTATATTTCAGGTTTAAAAAATGCATTTCTGTAATGGGCTGTGATATGATATATAATTTGTTAGCAAAATTTCAAGCTTAAATATCTGGTCATTAAATCTTGCCTACTTCCACAATTCATAAATAAAGTCACAAATGCTACAATAAAGCAGAAGCAAAAAAAGAAAAATGTTCCCCATGAATTATACCACAAATAAATAAAAATACTGTATTCCTTTAAACAAATGTTCTTACAAGCACTTTACAACCCAAAGAGAGATATGAGAGATGGTTTAAGAAAAGGTTGCAATTTTGCAACAGGAAGTTTGTACAGCTCCTCCAGGCAGTAGCTATGAAGGAAATACCTGTGTCTCAGAAACTCGTCTCCAAGTGCTCTTGACATTTTTCCATCCAGCCCCGTTCTTTACAAAGTTACATATTTTGCAAGCTCAAAGCACCTTACTCCTCATAATTATGAATGCATGCAATGACATTTCATCCTTTCATGTGCAAATTCTGAAATCATAACATAAAGTTAAAACTTGAAAATCTGCCCATAATTTGAAATGAAAGGATCAAAAATGTCAGACATGGCAGAGGACTGGTTCCTAATAGAGCTCTCTTTATTGGTTCACTGTTCTTCAGTTGTTTTTGCTTGTTTGTTTATTACAAAATGCAGTCTTGATTCTTTATTTAAACAGTACTTAAACTAAACTGTTCATGCCATGCAAAAAATAACATTTTATGCACTTTGGGGGGGAGGGGCTTCCCATGTAAGAGTTCACAGGCATTATTAACTGCATTTTTAAGAAACAAGTTTTTTTTTTTTTTATTGCTTTTGTAACTAGTCACATGCTGGTTTCGCGTGTGGGACAGTAACTCGTGTCTCCTGGGTTGGAATGAATTTCTGGGGCAAACAAGTGGTTTTCCATCTTGCACCCTTCTTGAGTACTGTCCTTTTTGACTTCACTCACAGCATGGTAAATGTCTTGCCTACAGTTGTGGCCTGTGTTCTGTGGGGAAGAGGAGTCCACACAGCCCTCTTCTCTTAAAGGGTCTCTAGCATCTCGAGGCTTATCTGCAAAGCAGTTGGGGCTGGAGTCCGCCTGCATGTCTGGCCGTGCCCCTTGGAGCTCCAAGAAGTCTTCATCTTCTCCAGTATCTATTTCAGTGAAGCTCCTCCTCTCTCTGGAGGAGAAAGGAAAGAGTTTCTGCTTGGGAAACCGAGGGGACAGCCCTTTGGAAGGTTCCTGACTGGGTGCTGAAACCTCAGCGCCCAGCAAGGGTCTGTCTCCCTGGGGGAGGGCTTCTTCCAGCAGGATGGTACTGATGTGCTGTGGGGTGGTGAGCGAAAAGTCTGCTGTCGTTACTGGCAGTGGCCTGGCTGTGCTGGGTGGCGTCTGGGGTGCACTGCCTCTATTTTCCTGAAAGTTCACTTTGAGGGATCTAGACTTTAAGGGGTTGCTCCCTTTCAGCGAGCTCTTAGGACTGTCAGTGGCACTGTCAGACTGCAAAGGACTGTGGAGCCCACTCTGGGAACTACCGGCATTGAGGTTCACAGTTATATCAATTGGGGCATAGTCCAGTGTGGCTTCCCTGGCAGTGGGCCCTTTCTCTCTGATTAGCGTTAGAAATGGGGGGCCCCTGGCTCTTTGGTGCTCTTCTGTCCCTGGGAGGTCGGTGGGGAACTTCATCTGCAGGTGAGATGCAGAGGGCGGTGGCAGGGGAGACCTCTCGGTCTCTGTAAAGTCTGTGGCACAGCTAGTGAAGCTGTCAATGCTGGAGGTACTCTTCATGTCCACGATGACCTCGGTCTGCGCCACGGCTAGCTGCTCCTGTGGGCAGACCACTTCTTCCATCTCTATCTCTTCTTCATATGAGGTTGGCCTCTCGGGCTGTTCTTGGCAGTCTGCACTAGGGTGAGAATGAGGCTGTGTCTTGGTGATTTCATTATACAGCATCTCCAGTTTTTGGGCACTCAGATGCTGTGGGCTGGAGGAAGAAGTGTTGTTCAGCTGCTCGTGGGAGTCTTTTTGGCTAACCTCCTGGTACTTATTCTCGTAAGACTTGTTGGAGCTCGTTTCCGACAGAGCCTTCCTGGCCCATTTCCACCGGCTTGGAGACAGGTGATTACCATCAGCTGAGTCCTTGGTATTGGCTGACTCTCCAACCTTCTCCACAGCCACATCTATCAGTTCCATACTTCGAGCAAAGGCATCTTTTAAGTTCATAGATACGATGCTTCCATTCCTTTTGGCTCTCTCAAGAGCCTCTCTCCTTTTAATCGCCTTCTCCTGGCGTTTCTGCTCCTTATAAAACTCAGAAAAATTGTTCACAATGATTGGGATAGGAAGGGCAATAACCAGAACCCCAGCAATACAGCAGAGACCTCCCACAATTTTCCCTAGTAATGTTTTAGGGTAGATGTCACCATAGCCCACAGTGGTCATGGTGATGGTGGCCCACCAAAATGATGCAGGGATACTGGTGAATTTGGTAGCATCTTCATCCTTCTCAGCAAAAAACACCAAGCTAGAAAATATCATGATCCCCATGGCCAGAAACAGTATCAACAAGCCCAGCTCATTGTAGCTCCGTCTGAGGGTGAAGCCCAGAGACTGCAGGCCGGTGGAATGTCGGGCAAGCTTCAGGATCCGAAGAATTCGCATGATTCGGAAGATCTGGACCACGCGCCTTACGTTCTGGAACTGCAGCACGCTCTTGTTGGACTCTGTGAGGAAAATGGTGACATAGTATGGTAAAATAGCCAGCAGGTCAATGACATTCAGCGGGCCTTTAAAGAACTTCCATTTATTTGGTGAGGACAGGAACCGTAAGAGGTACTCCATGGTAAACCAAGCAATACACACAGCCTCCACGTGCGCTAACTGGCGGTTGTCATTGGGGTGTCCAAATTCATCTGGTTCCTGCAGCTCTGGGAGTGTGTTGAGAGACAAAGCAATGGTGGAAAGTACGATGAACAGGATAGACACGATAGCCAAGATCTGGAAAAGAGAAGGAGATCCAAGTTAGCCAATCCTCTTAGTTGCTCAGACAGCGAGGTGACACATGGATTGGTGATTCTTTAAATGATATGAATGTTCCAAGTTATTGCAGGAAGGTTTTAACAAAATAACTTTACAACCTAAAATTCCCTAGTGAATACAAAGACATTCACTCTATATGAGTTCATTTGACTTAAAAGCCTAATATATGCTTAGATTCTAGGACTTAAGCAATTTGACAAAAATTGATTCCTCTCTTCTCACCCATTGATCTGAGGCACATTTGTGTTGTTTTCCATTTGGATAAGGGATCCATATGGCTAGCATGGCTCGTTGGGGAGTAATCATTTCTTCTTTCTTGGCTATGTGGAATTTTTTCTTTTGACCAACCGGTTTGTGTTGCCTTATGTGAATTGTCTTACATACTACATAAGCCTGACAGAATTCATGATCTCTAGAAGTTTTTTTCTATAACTAATCATACAAATACAGAACACAAATGTGGAGAGAGAATGTGACACTCAGTATAAACAATGCTTCTCTTAAGAACAAATACTTTTTATGCGGTCCACATCAGAGGCAAGTTAAAATAGCCTTTGTGCTGGGATGTGTGGATTTCTGACCAACATTACATGCAGAAGGAAGATTGTGAGTTAACTTCATTCAGGCAAGGTAGGCTTCATAAAGAAGAGCCAGAGGAATGACCATGGGGATCTCAGTGGAGGGCAGACATTCTAGGCAGAAGAAATAGTACCACAACATCAGGCTTGGAAGGAAAGAGGCAGATGCCAGAAACAAGCAAGAAGAGGATCAAGTGTCTGAGTTTTAGAATTAGCAGTCTGAGCTCTGACCTTGACTATACTACTTACTGTGTGACTTTGGGCAATTTAAAAAAAATTTATTTTATTGTTTTTTACATTTACTCGTATGTGTATACATTGTTTGGGCCACCTCCCCCCGCTACCCCTCATCACAGATTTTGGGCATATTATCTGATCTCTGTGTCTTAGTTTGCAAATCTGCTGAATGAAGGCAATAGTCATAGCTACTTCATGTTACTGTGAGGATTGCATGATACACAGACATTGCTGAATAAGTGAAAACTACTTATAGACTGAAATGGAGAGCCAAAGGTCAAGAATATGTATGTAGGAAATCTGTAAAACCATACAAGACATAGACAGGCCAAGAAGGAATTTTCTCACTATAACCAGTGTTCTAGACTTATGGAATAAAGTAGGAAGATTAAGATTTGAGAAGATTTAGTCTTTCAGTTTTCACTGAATTCATAATCACAGCTAGATTCGTAGACTATTTTATGTCTTTGTTAACTTTGGAAAAAAATAAAAGACTAATACTAATGCAGTTTGTAGTCTAGTTGATTGCAACTTAATAAATATAACTACCTTGAACACTTGGAAGTTTAGCATATGCATAAAATGACTGGGAATAGATTCTTGAAGAAAAAGAATTACTGAAGGAAAAACTAAACACTCATTTCCTTAGCAGCTCCACCATAAGGTATTGAAGTGCATTATTTTCTGTATTGTGTTGAAATTCAATCTGTCAAAACCTGTTTGCTCTCAATTTAGAGGACTGGCTTATTTTAAATATCTTGTGAAGCTTGGAGTTCTTTCAGAAAGGCAGCATTTTAGACAAATTATTCAATGTATACCAAAGGTGATATATAGAGCAATAAGCCAAATGCATACTTATTCTCTTATTGGAATGCATTTTTAAAAATAAAATGTGAGATCTGGCTAGAGAATAAACTTCTAAACATGGATATCTACATTAGTATTGCAAATCCTTATGGCATTTCCATGTCACTTCATTTCATAACTATGCACAGGTTAGGACGTGGCTGGCTTGAGTTTTTAAACTGTACCTCCAATAACTGGTCTTCAGAGCTGGCAGAAGTCAAACTGTTTCTCTCAGCTTTAGCAAACAGACTTAATGTTTGCTCATGCAAGGCAAGTGAAGATTACAAGCAATTATCTGTGATGTTGGTCCAACCTCCTTGGAGATTTGGATTAGTTCACTGCCAGGGTCTCTTTACCTCTAACATTTGGTGATTCTGTATCTAAGCTAAAACATTTTGCTAATTCTAGTCATGGCAATAAACCAAACCAAGGACAAGTTAAAAATAACCCTGACTTTTTGGCTGAGTGGACAAAATTAAATTTTATTGTTTAAGAAATAAAAAATTCAAAGGGGAAGGCTTTGAAAAACACTGTGCATGTATGTTCCAAGCATTTAGTTACTAGGAATAGACATTCCTTTCCCTCTTGAATTGCCTGGATGATTATTTTAGTCCTTCCCTTAAACACAGACATTAATAGGATAATGTTGAGTCACGAACAGGCCTCTGCAAACCTTCATTAGTAGGTACTCAAAGTTGGCTGCATTGGTTTCTATTTGTGAGACTAAGTAAGATGGCTGGATATTTGCCTCAACTTGTTGGTTTTAATCCTTTACAGATAGTGGATGTCTTGTGATAGAAAGAAACATAGGACAAGGACTGAAAACACAGGTCTCTACTCTGTTGGCCATGTGGACAAACCAGTTCCCTCCCTGAACGTCAATTCCCTCATCTCAAAATGAGGTGCACCTGCCTCAGCAGGATGGTGCACATGAAAGTACCCTATAAATGTACAGTGTGTTAGCATGTAAGAAATGCTGGAGGTATGTTGGCAAAAAAACCTTGGCCAGCTTTGGGAGGGGAATAATAAACTTTAAATTGTATATCTCCTCTTTAAGTACAATTCCAGACCTGTTCATATTTTTAACACTTTCAAACATATTCTTTCACTTAAGTAGTGGTTTGCATGATAAACCTAGACAAATATATCTTATTTTCTTTGGAACGGAACCATCTAGTTTGTGAAAATTTATTGAAGAGTCGAACAGAGGTTACTTCAAGTGAATGTGACCTGTCTTGTGTCTTAAAATATGCAGAAAGCTTTTTAGACTGGGTCTCCTGTGTGATACTCTGCCACAATTCACTGCCATTCATCACATCATAAAAATACATGGAAATTCTGTGCCTCATGCTAAAGTTTCCATGTGGTACTTTCTCTCTGCCTTCCCTCGTAACCTTTCCTTTTTTTTCTTCCATAAATATGTACTGGGAGGTGACAGAAAGTGACTGTTAACCACTATAGCTTCCTAGTAGGATATAGTGTAGTTTTCAATCCTTGTCAGCAATGAAAAACAACATGGAGAAACATGATACTAAAAATTTTCAGGAAGGACAAAGCCTGTGATAAGCATTCTTAGAAGCATGAATAATTTTCTACTTTCAGAACAGGGATACAACATGTTGGCATTTCTGAGACTATAAGCCAAACACGCCAACCTGCTTGTTGAAGGAAGAGGCGAGGAGCCGGTAAGAATGTCAAGATTTTCATCCACCCCTCTCCTATTTCTAGCTTTTCCCATAAGACAACTGGATGCAGCAAATCCCAAAGTAGCAACTTTGATTTCTACCAGAGAAAGAACAAACTATATTGTTTCCAGTTCTAGCTTCTCATATTCCTTGAACCACATGGTACTGTCCTTTCTAAGGCTTAAAAGCTCTTAGTTGGCTAATAGCCCTTTATTCTCTTAAGTGTTCCCTTGGACTCCCACAGCAAAAGGGGTTCCATGGTTAAGTATTCTTAGGCGATTTGCTTGTGCAGAAAAGACCCCTTACACCACACGACTAAATGCAAAAAAAAAAAAAAAATGTGCATGACTGTAAAATTCAGTTGTTTGAAAAATTATTTTGGTCTTTGGATAACATGAACCCAGTAATTTAATTTTCCCCCAGTTTCAGGGGCCATTGCCTGAGGGATTATCCATGTACAAAGTTGATGTCAGCTCTTAGTCCCCACAATGCCTTCCATTTGAAAAGAGTAGGATGTGAGAAGCAACTCAGTTTCCCATAGTATCAGACAATTTCTGTTTTTTTTTTTTTTATTCTCACAGACAAAATCCATTGATTGAGAGGAAAGTTTTGGTTCTTTTGTACCTAAAGGTACTGTTTTGCTATTTTCTTGAAATCTTCTGAAATTATGCTTTGTTTTATTATCCATAATATATTTATATATTTGAAAAGATTAGATTTTAGGAAGCACGTTGTTAGGTGAAGACTGCTGAATGGAATTTTAATATTATTCCTAAGTTATTCTGCAAAGAAAGGAGCAACAGTGAGGTGGAGAAGGTATAAGATTCATGCCGTGATTAGTCACCCACATGCACGATTAGGCAATCTCTCCCTAGGTAACTGGTCCACAGGAAAGTGTTCAGGAGCCTGACAGTGAAAATGGAGAATGACCACGCTTGGTAGAACACAGACATGTCCTCCTCTGCTAGCTTGCCATAGAGAGGAACCGTGGCTTCTCTCTTCTGTAGACTGTCTCCTTTCAGGGAATGCACAACGTAAATGTTTAGACTCTTCTCTTCAGTGTGCATATGACAGACCTTGACGGAAAGATGCAAGAAGAGGATAAATGGAGTGCATCCTTTGAACAGGTTTTCATTTAACTTGATAGCTTAACATTAGTAGAATGTAAAAAATCAAGCTGGAAGAAATACTAGAAATATTCTGTTTCATATTTTATAGGTAAAGAAACAAAGATTGAAGGAGTCTAATAAGTGCCTGGCGTGGGCAGCAGTGGTAGTAATGGAAGACTGAGAGAAAAGAGCCTGAGTTTGGACCCTGGTTCTGACATGCTTTGTTCCCTTTCTGACCCTTTGCATCATAATTCATTTTTCTGGCACTCAGTAGTTCCATTAAGAAAATGTGAAAATAAAATGCTTGCTTTACTTATCTAGGTAGCCTTATTTTGAAGACAAATAAAACAAAGTATATGATAGTACTCTGTAACTGAAGTGCTAACAATATTAATTATTTTACTTATTTAAGAATGTCTCAAGTCATATATCAATTACTGTTGAGTCACATTTATTTTGTCTGCAACCCCAAAGCCTAGGTGGTGTTTTTGTTTTGTTTTGTT